AGTGCCCTCTATCTCACCTTCCCTGTTCAGCTGAAATGGTGCTTACAGATGAACTATCTCCAGGGAATAGCATTTGGATAAAAAAATAATTCAGCACCAGTCACTTTAATGCGTCCAAGACTGTTGTAAGGGTCACCATGGACAAGGAATAGGTAGGTCCCTGTTCCCCAGAGAGGGGTCAGAGGAGGCATCTTCCCAGGTTTGTGTACTCACTGTAACTGTGTATTCATCTAAGCACCACGATTCATTTTGTTAAGTGCAGTTAGCTCTTGAGCGGAATTTTAACCAAACTCTCCTCAGTAACATTCAATTCTTGTTCTTTAATGTCTTTCATTAGGATGACTGGTTGCCCAAGCGCTCAGTAATGAAGGAGAGTGTCTATTTTGTTCACTCACCAATTCTGACCTATCTTCCTTCAGTCAGCAACATCCCAAATCGCTCCAGGATGACATAACGATAGTGAAATAGCCTTGGGGAACTGTGCTGAGAAAAGCAATCCCGTCACAGAGTAGCAGCCTTCTAAACCTGGGTGACTGAGCTCATGGGCGGCTGACAGGGCTCTCAAGGCAACCGGGGAGCACAGAACAGGCCTGCACAGATTCACTCACATCAGGGGAGTCCACAGCTGCCTTTCCTGTATCCTCTCAGAGCAGTGCAAAGGGGAATAAATCTACATGGTGAGGATCTACCCCGAAATGCAGAGCAGGACATGAAGGTTGGATGATACACACACAGCCCTTCCATCCTGTTGATGGTGCAGTGAGGATTGCCTGCTGCAGCAATGAGGTGGCAATTTGTACTCCCAAACTTCTGAAAACTGGCACCTGGGGGGATGTCTGTGTCCTTGCCCCACTGGCAAAGAAACAATGATGAACAACCTGTTTATTCTAGAGTTTCCAGTGTTGGATGAAAGAACTGAAGAAGAAAAAATAGGGGAGAAAGGGGATATTTTACAGTCCTGAGCATGATTGGAGAGCAGGTGGAAAGCAGCCTGCTGAGCTGGCCAGTTGCTGAAAGGTGGCAAAGGAAGCTGGCACAACGACTCCTGACGTCTGCTTTCTCCAAGAAGGTGACGGAGGCAAGCTGTCGCCTTGATTCCCACAGTATATTTTCATTAAGCCATGGCAGATGGCAGTGGAGGTCACCGTTGCCACACCATCATCCTCTCAGCCAAAAGGTGTCAGGGAATCTGACACCTCAATTACTAAAGCTAGATTCATCCAAACAGTGTCCAGGAGGAAGGGGGAAGGGGGATCAGAAAAGCTGCTCTCAATTTCTGTGAGTCCTCACCTTGGAGAGGAAATCTGGAATGTGAGCTTTCCTGATAAACAACATATTTGTGTCTAACATCCTGACACAGAAGCAGCTGTGCTGCGAACACGCCACTGACACCAGGAAAATGGCAATTGAATCCTTCCGGAAATGAGACCAAAAGAGTATCTCTTGGAAAAGACAGTCGATGTCAATGAGCTACAGTGAAGTCCAGGGAGGATCTTTTGATCTCACCCCAGCTGAGAACTGTTGCTTGTCCCTCTCTGGTCTATGAAACTCAGAACATGACATGAAATTAAACTTGGTGTTCTTCACCTTAAAGGGACTTTCAGAAGTGGACCCTGGTCTCAGCTAATTCAGTGAGAAGCCAGAGAAACATCACCATTGACCATTCTGTGTTTGTCATGAAATGCAGGTGTGATACACTGATGAGAAGCAGCATCCTTCTTGAAGCCCTTTCTCAAAAATTGTTGTTAGATATTCCAATGATTTCATTTTTTATCATTCCTATTATTAATCCCTACTTTCCTACTATTATTTTAGTACAATTATTTCCCTACTTTTTAATTACTATTAATCCCTGCCTTTCTAATCCCTACTATTATATTTAGTAATAATACTGGCTATGAGAAGATGAAATAAAATTCTGACCCTCATCAAAGCTCAATAAACTAGCCAAGCAGAAGTCATTTATTATTATATTGAAATCTCATGAAATTTAAGGTAATATTATGATTCTGGAATGATTATGAAATATTGCAGACTAGCAGCTTTGCAGGGCATTATTTACTGAGTTTTCTTCAACAAAAAAAAATATCAAAAGTGTTGGCCTACAGCAACAGATAGATCAACTATAGATCAACTCAGCCAGCCAACACACTGCAGCAATGCTCAAGCCTGTGTTTTCTCTTTGAGGAGCTCTCCACTTAAACTCCAATATTTAGGAGCTATAACAGAGCTCCTGACACAGCAGTGTCAGAGATATTTAAAATATAAATGTGTCAGAGCACAAAATTCCCCCTCCCTCCCCAAAAAATCTGATTTTTTTAAGTGAGATTTTAGCTTTGTGAGGGAAAGATTCTTGAAAATACTTTTCAAAAGTTAAAAATATTTGGGGTTTGGCACAGTAAAACCCCCATCACTTTCAGCAAACACTGCCGAATGCCAGAGTATTTTTATTTTTTGGCCAGAAATGTCCTTTTTCCCCTCATGTTCCAGAGGTGGGGAATGGAAGAAGAATGTGCTACTTCTGAGAAGAAAAAAAAAATCTGTGGAAATTTATACTTTGTTGAAAACTATCTTCTACCAAACTAAAATGCAGATATAACATATACTGTTAGGTGCAGTCATCACATCTAGTCCAACACAGGAGGAGTGGGGACAAAGGGAACTTCACACTCATAAGGACATTAAATCACAAATTATCTCTCCTTTATTAGAAAGAACGATCCAGTTCCACTGACCTCAAAGCCAGCGATACGCTAATGGAAAAAGGGGATGCTACAGCTGGGGCTCTTGGAGCTTGCTGTATCATATGCATTTTTTTAAGTGTTCAAAGAGCAATGGGCTATTCCAGAGTTTTTCTGGAGAACAAGAGACCACAATCTGGCCTTTGTTATCTAGTTTATCCTCCAAGAATTCCTACTTGAGGGCCCCTATAGCAGATTCTTGGAAAAGCTCCACCTTGCACCCTAGCCAAAGTGATCTTAGTTTCCTTATATTATTAGCACACAATGGAGCAACGTCAGCCCCGCTCCGGGAATGTCCCCGCGCTGTGCAGGGCGTGCTGGCAGGCGCAGCGCTTCTGGCCCCTCGGCCTTCCCGTAACCCCACACCGGATTCGGCTCCGTGCCGCGGGAGAGGCTCGCTGCGAGGGGAACGACGGCTCCCTGCCCTCCTGCATGACCCTAGTGCTCATACAGAGAAAAAGGGGAGGCCAAGCAGCAGAGCGTGGCCCAGATAAATCAGAAAGTGGTCAGTCAAAGATACTGCATCAGCTGAAACAGAGAGCCAGGACTCAAAGAAGAGATGACTTCAGTACTATCCTGCCCTCAGCTTTCACTAGGTCTAGGTGCGAGGAAAAAAAAAAAAATCAGTTGATCAAAGCCAAAAATCTTTGTCCGTTTCTCTCAGTCGGCCCAATTCCACCCACCTCCTTCATGCTGAATGTCCTGTTACTCCTAGG